TTTGAATACTCACTGAACTTTAAAGGGCGTCACGTTTCACTCACTGAACTTTACTTTGCACTCAATTACTCATTGAATTTTGGAGTTAATTATTTGAATACTCACTGAACTTTAAAGAGCGTTACGTTTCACTCACTGAAGTTTACTTTAACCCAATTACTCACTGAACTTCGTAAACTTGCATTCCATCACTCATCGGGTTAAAGAGTTAATTGTTTGAATACTTATCGAACTTTACAAGATGTCACATTTCACCCACTCAATTTTACTTTACACCCAATTACTCACTGAACTTTGTAAATTTGCACTTCATCACTCACCAGGAACCATTTGTTCTGTTTGTTTATGTGGATGACGACTTTAACACGTGGCAGTTAAATTAGACAAACATAACAATGAATTGCCAAATCATATATCCAAAAGGACCCAAACATGCCTCACCGTTTTCACTCAAAAATGACATGCCCAGTAAAGGCGAAAAAAAAGAAACAACAATCGCGATATACTAAAATTCACCTTGGAAGCAGCCTATTTTAAGAGATTAGGGTTCCAATCGCGATTTATGTGTTGAAAACGGTGAGGCATAATTGGGTCCTTTTGGATATATGATTTGGCAATTCATTGTTATGTTTGTCAAATTTAACTGCCACGTGTTAAAGCCGTCATCCACATAGGCAAACAGAACAAACGGTTCCTGGTGAGTGATGAAGTGCAAATTTACAAAGTTCAGTGAGTAATTGGGTGCAAAGTAAAGTTGAGTTGGTGAAATGTGACGTCTTGTAAAGTTCGGTAAGTATTCAAACAATTAACTATTTAACCTGATGAGTGATGAAGTGCAAGTTTACAAAGTTCAGTAAGTAATTGGGTGCAAAGTAAAGTTCAGTGAGTGAAATGTGACGCCCTTCCAAAGTTCAGTGAGTAATTGGGTGCAAAGTAAAATTCAGTGAGTGAAACGTGGCGCCCTTTAAAGTTCAGTGAGTATTCAAACAATTAACTCCACCTCACCCCTGCCCCACCCCAACCAACCTAATTCATCTTCTTCCCCAAAAAATACTCAACAATAGCCATGCCTCGCCATTGCAAATACTCGTTCCTCTCAACAGCATCCAACACAATCTTGAACCTAATCCCTCAATTCAACAATTTTACTCTGTTCATATGCAGTAAACCACCTAAGCTCCCAGAAAATTTTACTCCAATTCAAAAATTTTACTCCACTTCAACAATTTACTCCAATTCAACAAATTTTTTAGCGAACATTGGAACTACCAGAAAATGAATTTCGAGAAAAATCAAGGTAATTAAGCACCAGCATGCTGCCAATTCCATCCAGAATTTCCCCGTAACATTTGGATGGTACCTATCAATTTTGAAAATCATTCAAGCTCAACTATGATACCTCGCCAGTGTAAAAGGCTTCCTGTCCGATGCCAGATCTTGAAAACTGCACGAGTGATTTTGTTTGGCAAGAGAATTATCAACGTGAAAAATGAGAATTGGAAACAGTTTTGGATGGATTTTGGAAACAGATTTTTATTGGAGTAAGGAAAGACTGGGGGTGAAAGTTTTGGATGGAAAAAAAGGAAATGGAAGGACGGCGGCAACAGAGTGGAACAAGGTTGGGCCGATGGCCTTGATGATTTTGGTGGGTAAGGAGGAGTTGCTGGTGCCGTGATTAAGGGTTGTGCTTTCCCGCGGCAGTGATGCTGGTGCAGGGGATGGAGGTGGGGGAAATAGAGATGGTGTAGGGGTTTGAAGGAGAGAAAATGGAGTGAAGTCTCAGATTTGAGTTAATCGTTCTAATGGTCACTAAACTATTTTTGATTAGTGGTTGGACTTTAAAATGTCGAGTTTTGGTCATTGAACTTTGAAAAATATTGAGTTTTGATCACTGAATTTAGGTTCATGTCTTTTATTGGTTACTAAACTTCAAAAAGTCGAGTTTTGACCACTGAATTTTAAAAATTGTTGAGTTTTGGTCATTGAACTTAAATCCATATCTTCGATTGTTCATTAAAGTTTAAAATATCGAGTTTTGGCCACTGAATTTTGGAATATGATGTTCATTCTTAAACTTTGAAAAATATTAAGTTTACAGTAAATAATGTACAATATTTTTCAAAATTTAGTGAGTAACATATAATATTGTTCAAAGTTCAGTGGCCAAAACTCAACATTTTAAACTTCTGTGAGCAATCGAAGACATAAACCTAAGTTCACTGACTAAAATTGGACATTTTTCATAGTTCAATAGCCAAAACTCAACATTTTAAAGTTCAATTGTCAATCAAAGACATGGACCTAAATTCAGTGACCATTGGAACAATTAACTCCTCAGATTTTTAGGGAAGAAGATGAAATAGGGTGGCATGGGGGTAGAAAATAAAGTTTTAAGATTTAGGATAGTAAAAATTTGAATTTTAATTTGTAATAGAATAAAAAGTTTGGACACTGAAATTGTAATTTTTCCTTTTTAATTTTGGCATTCTTACTGTTTTAATGGCAAATCTGATGGATTTTGATGGCAGAGCCCAAAAGGTTCCAAAGAAGAAGATTTTCTGTGATTTTCAATAGGTGGAGGGTATATCGCATATGAAAACGTTTCTATGGGATTTTTTGCTATTAATTCTTTATTTTACTCTCTTTCTTGTTTTGTTTTCAATGCCAACAATCTTTTACATAATGTTCAAGTTTTTCACAAACAAAACAATTTTCCTTAGACTTCTTCTTGAATTTTTTGTGGTCCTTGTTAAAGGAATTCCTTTTGCTTGATTTGTTGGATAGCTCTGTCTTTTCTACGCATTGATTTTTGAAGTGCCTTCTTAAGAGTTCTCAACCTTATCTCTTGTTCTCGATTCTTCCTCAATCCGGAAATGTTTTAATTTGTTTCAAAGAAAAATCTTCGAAATTATAAAGGATTTTTTTTCCAATATCATTTCAAGCCCCAAGATGTTTTGCAAAAATTGCTCCTACTTGAAAAGGATTTCAAAAGTTCTATTTTGACGTTCTTCAATTTGTTAACAAGTACTTACAATTCATGAACTCGGGAAGTAGAAGACTATTATCTAGAAATTTGAAATCAAAATATTTTAATATTAAAAACTTCTTTGTACCTTCCTACCCAGCTTTATATCATTCCTCAAATGCAACCCAAATCTATCTTGCGGATATTTTGTTGGCATACAGATTATATAGACTATCCGAAAGTTCATTGAGAATGTGATCCCTACAAATTAATTCATTCTCTTGACGTTTTTGTCTTTCAGCCCGTACTGCATCTGAGTCTATATTTGTTGGTTTTGAAAACGGTACCGAGTTCAGATTAAGAATGTAGACGATTTTTAACGACTTAATTGGAACTTAAATTTGTCTTGCTACTAGACAAAGTAAGTTCCATCAAATTGGTCCAACCTCATAAAATCTTGATTCATGAATTTAATGGTTGTCATGGTTGTCTCGTTCTCAATTAAAGGGGGTGTTTGAGCCACATTATTTTGATAATAATGCATTCTTGAATAGTGTATTGATAAAAATGTGTGGTTAAAAAATAAAAATTTTCTTATTTGCGTATAATATTATTTTATTGAAGAATGTGTAGTTAAAATAATATCAAATCAATGTTTAAGAATGCATTTTTTTGGAATACTGTGGCTCAAATAGGCTCAAAATATTATTTGAAATTGTTGGTAAATTAATAAATAGGACAATGAGAGAACATAGATAATTGCAAACACAGTATGTTTGAACACATGATCATTATCCTCAAACAATATTTATTTTCTCTAGAAAATTTTAGAATACTAAAAGGAATTTCTGGCAAATGATTTGTAGAATTTAAGAATCCTTTAACAAGAAAACACTTGAACGCTTGTGATTTCTTATAAGAACTTGATAAACACAATAAAGTTTGAACATGTATTAGAATCTGGAATAGTGACACTCAAATGTGATTTTGGTTGTTGTTTTCATTCATTGCAATTAAAAATGATCACTTATTCGTAGTTTTACATTCACAATTCATGACTACAACTTTTCATGAAAACCACCAAAATATCAATATTGGAAATAGGCCTAACGGCTAATTTTGATAACCAAGGTATCACATTTTTATAAGCCTTGAGACCTCATGGTACAAATGAAAACCAATGTGCATTTCCAAATTGTTTAAGCCATGCGATCACATGAGCTTATTGTGTCTACGCCAATTTCCTTCTATTTTGATCTCACATCAGTTTTTTCGTTTTCTTATAGTAATTATTTGTTCAACTCTCCCCACCCATATAATTGTTGAACAAAATATAACATTTAATACTCCATCAACATGTGGTAAATGGTGAGCATCAATTAAAATAGGGTGGTTTAGGCGCCGGTGACAGATTTACTAGTTACCGATGTCTGCAGTTATCTTCAATAACAAGCCTCGTTGCTCTGCTGCAAATATGAAAACGAAGATATTAGGATCCTTATAAGCAATGAAAAAATTTGCCCAGCTGAGCTTTATTTGTACATTACACAAAGGTAGAATGCAGTGAAATGTAATCATGATATGATAGGAAGCCCTGCCCAAGCAAGGTGATAGACATGTGGATTCATTTTCATATCCAATCTTTCCAGTAAAACAAGGTTGGGAATTCAAATTTTGATTGATTTCCAATAAGCCTACTGTAAAATTGAATTCAAATAGTGTTAAGGGATGACAAAAATTACCTATTCATGCTGGTGCCTTTCTCATCAAGAAGTGGGTATAGAGCCGTCTTTGTAGAGAAGTGCCATGTCAAGGGCACTGGGCGCTTAGAGGAAGTAACCAACTCAGTTTTCCCATGAATCTTTAAACATCAGTACAAACAATAGGGAAGTTAGTCAACAATATAATTCTCCGCTGAGCTCTTTGCAGATAATTAATCAGCAGGCTCATAACTTCCAGGTCAAAAAAATTAAAATTGGAATATATTTTCTTTATAATAACAATTCATTTTAGTTATTAAATTAAAGCCCATTTTGAATTTATGTGGTATTATCGCCAGAAGCTATGTTTCCTCCAGAATATACGTGCAGCTTTCAGTATCCAAAGCAATGTATCTGTGGACATAAACACAAAATGTAAATACATATATGATGCATCTATGTGGGTGACTTTTCTACTTTGATCATTATGGCATATAGAGTAGCACCATTGAGGCACTTCCCTGTTTACGCAATCTCCAAGAGTTCTACGTAGGGTCAAATATAATGATAGACGTCTACAAGTTTAGCTGAAACACAGTTTTCTTTAAATCTTATCTTCAAATGCCCTTTACCGTGCATCCAGGTTCATACTCTTGTAAAAATGTGACACTTTTAGTACAATTTTCATAAATGGGTGAATGTAAAACATTAACTCCGAATGCCAAGTTTAAACCAATAAAAAAAAAAAAAAAAAAAAAAAAGAAAGAAAGAAAAGAAAAAGGGAAAGAAATATGATCTTGTATTGAACATGTGAACGTGCATGTTTATATAAGCGGGAACCAACAAAACCAATTCCATAACTCAAGGGATAGCAGTCACTACATCCCTATTTTTATTACATATAATTATATATAGTGTGTGCATATCTGAGCGCGCGCGCGCGTGCGAGAGAGAGAGTTTAATTATGGTAATTACCTTAAGCAGGTAATAACAGCGAGGAACAAATTATAGAATTTGCCAAATCTTCTTGGAATGCAATTTTTCATCCCACTAATTCACTTAATGGTGGACGGTCCATGACACTGGATGCTTTCACTGCATTGCTCTGCAGTTGAGGATCAATATCAGGTAATTTAGGAACCTGTAATCAAAGAAAACCCCTCAGTACTCCAAAATTGGAGAAAAGAACAAGCCAAAAATGCAAAAAGGCACAAAATGAGAAGTTCAACGAGTTCCCAATAATACTAATGAGAAGGGCAAGCTAGAGAAATGATGCTGAGAAGTAGAAATTCATAGGGTGCTATGGTATAAATTGCAGCACAGGTCGTGAATCATCATCATCCATGTATTACCTGTGCTAAAAGATCGATTGTTCGTCGTAAAAGACGAGCTAAATCTCCTTCATCCATGGCACAGTCCATCATAACCTCTCTCCAAGTTAGACCAGATGCCCAGGCTTCAACCATGCCAGAAAACTGGCTATCTAAGCAGCAAGGTATCTATAAACCATGGACATGCTTATTAGGAAAATCTATACAATGCACCCTTTATGTATGTTTATACACTTCGCATACATATGTTTAGAAATTACAATTCACATACTTTCAAAATCATTAACAAATTACATATTAACATCTCTGATAAAGAAATAGGAAATATTTACAAAACACAGTGCTATTGTAAATTTAATAACAGATTGTACTAAGTAAATTTGCCCAATTTCTTTAACAGAGACTTAACGAATATTTTATTTGCTAATGCTTTCGAAATAATAGTATGCAAATTGTTAGGCAGTGTAATTACACTCGACGTACAGAATATATTGTAAATTTAATTTGCAAAATATTAAGCAAGCCCAATGTATCCCAATGAGTCCATGGATATTACCTTCACTCCATGTTTTTCCTGAAGTTGTAAAAGTGAGCTCCTTTGTTCATCCAAAAAGTTGATTACATTCATAACAGTGGTGGAAGGTTCATAAATATAGCTGTAGAGAACAAAACGAATATATGATTTGTCACATGCAAATGCTTATTGATTGTTTTTAGATTTTTTTTTCATATTAAAAGTGCAATGCCTATCTCCATTTACACGCACAAATTGAACTACTCAAAACTTCACTATAAATTTAATAATACCTATTATTCTTCCAAGGTCGAAGTTTAATTCCTTCAGACACTAGACTTCCGAAAACGGCAGCAAGCTGTGCAGGTTTTAGATCCAGGAGGATTTTATTTCGAAGAATCATCGCTAACCAGAGTTCATTTTCACCTCGAATTGCAGCAGCAGTTTCACCAAGAGGAAAAATTACATGCGTATTGATATCCAGTGCCCTAATTTCGTGTATGACATTGCTGATCTGGCACATAAGAAAAGTGGTACATAAGAAAAGTGAAACAACATGTAGAACTGTGTTAACATAGGCAGTCCCCATCTAACATACCCATCTAACATAATTTAATTGTCTAGTAAATGAATTAATGTTATACTTCTATAATTTTCCTCAGTCCGCTTAAACCAGTTTTATAAATAGTAGCATATCTATGTTGTAATCTATTTCCTATATTGCACACTATGACTGGACATCTAAAACAAAATAATAATAATAATAATAATAATAATAATAATAATAATAATAATAATAATAAGAGAGAATGACAGGCACTAACATATACGGTTATCACTGTATTGATGCTTAGAATTTTGAAATGTACAACTAAATAGAGCAATATAGATATGGGAAACCACAACATTTCTAAACAATTTTCCAACAATAAGCAAATTTCAATTCTCTGTGCCACATAGAGCCCTTGAAATTATAAAAATTAATCTGCTGATTTAAAGATTAGAAGAAAATTTGAAGCTTCGTAAAAACAAATGAAATAGACTACTCTCATCAAATAATCATGAGATTATCGCACTTGTTTTACATTTTTGTAGAACAGCTAACCTTATGGAAATGTTTCATTATCACATGCTCCATATTTAACCAACAATGATAATGAACATGCTAGCTGATAGCATGCAGTATGTTTGAATGCAAATTACCTGCAGAAACTCCTTCCAACCTGATGGTTCAATCTGCTCTATGCGAGTACTCAAACGACGTGATCTAGCCTTCAAGCGTCGTATCTTCTCCTCAGTAAACTTAGCCATGTCTATAATCTTCTTATATTCTCTAAAGCCTTCTGTGCGTGCTATCTTTTTCTTCAAACGTGCAACTTTGGTTCTTTGGTCTTTGTAGCATTGTACAGCATTATGATATGCTTGAGAAAATTCTAAAACCTGACAAATTAAGAATAGAACCAAAATTTAACTTCATACACCTAAGTACAAACAAGTAATTATTGTACTACAAGCACTTGTCCCCTTTTTACTCATAGCAAACTATTTCACCATTTGTCTTTCAGTCACGAACCCTCCCGCCAATTGTTGAGTTAAATTAGGCCTGCTAATGATGGAGATCAAAGTGGCCCAAATACTGGATGGGGCCGCGGAGACTGATTAGAAATTGGACAACTGACCAAATGCGTGTTTGAACTAATGATGAAAGAAGAATCTTGTGCTTCTACACCAAATCAATGTTGTTATGGGGTGGTCGAAACCAAAAAATGACCACTAGAGAATCATCTGCAATCTTCTACATCAAATCTTGAAAAAACAATTAGATCGAAAATCTAAAATTACCCATGCAGTTCAATCATGAAGTGCTTCAACACTTTGATGAACTTATCACCGACATATCTCATCATAATGGGCCAAAATATGCAGATCCAAAAACATTGATTGAGTCCCAGATATGAGCAAATATAACCCAGAAGGGGGCGAGTTCGGAAGGCAAATTTAAGAATCACATATTTATAATCAAAATAGAAAGGTACAGGAAAAATAAGGAAATAAATAAATAGAAAGAAAAAAGAAAACATAGAGAAGGTAAATTCAGTTGCAAATCCCCACTCCCAAGTCCCACCCACGCTCATTTTTCTCCGGAGGAATTTACTCAGGAAATATTTTTTCCATGCAAATATTTTATACAACTAGTGATGTGGAATTGAAGATATACTCAGAAATATATAAGCTTGTAATTAATTAGAAGTACTTCAAACTCTTTGCTTACAAAAGGGAACTTGGGATTTCATTAAAATTAGACTATCGGTTTTATCACATTTTGGTCCTATATTTTCCTTTGCTCTTCTCTAATTTTGTCATCCTTTTCTTCTCTTTTTTGTCCTCTTCTTCTCCTTATCTCTCATTCTCTCCCTTTCATATTTCTGCGTCAAGTTTTGCATCAACGAGTCTATCCCGTTGTTAAGAGTTAAGAGACTTTGAGACATTGCATGTTTCAAGAATAATGCTCACAGGCATTCTAAACATAAAACCTAAAAGAAAGAAATGCCAAGGTGGGGAATTCATTTGGTTATTGATTTCACCTCATCATCTTCGGAAAAACTACTCAAGACTGGCACATTTAAACTCCAAGACCACGTCTCTAGAGATCCTTCCATGCTCCAAAGACCGCCAAGCTCAGATTCTGCAACCTTTTGCCACTGCATGCTTTCCTTGTCGAGCAGCAATGTCATTATTTCACGAGGCAAAACATCACCAAGAGCTAGAGCAACATTGGGAAAACCTGTTTTATAAACTGTCTTGATCCACTTCGGTGTGAAAAGGTACCATGAATTATCTGAACCAAGAGCGACATGGTAAGATGTTTCAGCACCATGTTCACTCTCAGCATCTCTGAAATAAATATCCATGTCTACACTTAGTGCAAAATAATCAGAGTCGTGAACCTGTAAGGGAAGGCACAAAAACATTAAGTGTTTTGTTTAGGCGAGGTTATTTGAAGTGAAAAACGATTTTTCGGAGAATGTGTAGTTAAAAAATAGAAAATAGTTATGGGTTCATGTGCAAAATTATTTTATTGAGAGAATGTGTGATTGAAAATGAGTTTAAGGAAAAATAATTTTGTCAAATAAATGTTAAAACCGAGATCTCAATCAAGAGAATGAAATGTGAGTGAAACTGAAGCAAAATATAATGCAATAAATGATGCTATTTTCCTCTGTGAGCAGTATGGTAGCATGTGCGAGTATGTGAAATTATAATGGATTAGTAACATTTGTTCTTTGATGGGAAGTTAACATGTTAAATAAGAAGATAAATATGAAACATATAGATCCAAATTAGGGGGTTTGAGATCTCATCAGTATCAATCTTTGTTATACATGTCTTTTTTAGGTAATGGTAGCCTCCACCAAGTAAAAATCAAAACAAAGCAGTATAATGTGCAAACAAGTTTAAAAGATAGCAAGTTGCAAAGTGCACAACATGTAGCAAAGACAAACATAATGTACTTCAATCAGAAACAGAGAATGCATTCCAATAATCTTGTTATCACAAAGGACCTATGCTGCAGCATGAAACTTCTTGCAATATGGCACAACAGCATGCCTTTAAGTAATTTAATGAGTATTTTTCAATGCCAGCGAAAAGGATAACTGAGAAAGGGAAGAGTGAGAAGGAGAGTAAAAAATCAAGCTTACAAGATTCTTAACTTTTGAAGTTTTCAATGAGTCAACCATTCCCAAGTAAACAGCAGGGATTTGATGCTGAACTCCACCTGAATCACTATACTGTAAACACATAAAAGGTAAATGCGCCTCTCCTAGCTTCTTCAGTAAAGGTCTCAAAGAAAACATTCTTTCAAGTTCCACCCTTCTCCGCAGTTCAGTCCGGAGGCGCTTTTCTGACTGAGAGGGAAAGATAAAATCAAGTAAATTGTATTGAACTAGGAACAGATGTCTCCAAAAGAATAATAACAGCAAATAAACAGTCCAATCTGGGAAAATAAAGGTTGGAAGGACATGTGTGATAAGAGATACCCTTAATTCTTCCTGAAGATCAGAAATTTCCCTATAAGCTGATTCTGTCAACAGTTTCTGGCTCTTTTTATCAATAGCTTCATCACTGATTTCTGAAGTCAGTATCTCTATCTCATTTTGTATTTTAGCAAGCTCCTCCTTTGCAGCAAGCATGACATTGCTCCCGACATAATTTCCAAAACTTTGCTCGACTAACTTTCTCGCTTCTTCCAATGTCCGTCCTGATTGAGAGACATTCGAATAATTTGATTCGGGGGATTGTGTAACTTTAGCACCCTGCAAAGCATGAAATGTAGAGTCCATGACACAGAAATGACTAGGCCAAAGAGAAGTACCATTGAAGAACATACCCCAAGAAGATTAAGAACCATTCCATATGAAGCAGTGAACTGAGATACAAGAGGTTCAAGTCCAGAAAAGAGAATTTTGCAGGATTCTTCAGCCCCTTCATATGGTGTCTGAACAAGAACAACGTGACCTCTTTCATCAATGCCTCTTCGACCAGCACGTCCTGCCATTTGGAGCAATTCATTTGAAGTTAAAAGAGAACGCCCACTTTCAGTTCTTTTGCTCAGAGATGAAATAACAGCTGTCCTAGCAGGCATGTTGATTCCAGCAGCTAGCGTTTCTGTGGCGAAAACAACCTTTACAAGCCCCCGTTGAAACAGCTCTTCTATGAATGATTTCCACAGGGGAAGACAACCAGCATGATGTGCTGCAACACCTCGGAGAAGGAATTTTGCTGAAGATTCCCTCACAGCATCAGGATATTGGACACGGAACCTTTTAATGGCCAGTTCTACTTCACTCATCTCACATTCATCCAGTAGCCTGCAGTCTTCCAGGTACTGGACAGCTGCATCACATCCTTTTCTGCTAAATATAAACCATACGGCAGGAAGCATATCCCTAGCTTCAAGATGCCACAATGTGTCTATAACTTGAGGCACCTACGACATAAAACCAGAAAAATGAAAGGACCCACAATCCAAGTAATTCTTTTAAATTATAAATCGTATGTGGAGAACAGAATCAATAATTTTCATCCAACTTGATTCTGATGTCAACCAAAAATAAGTCATCAACTACTAGCTCATACTTGTGAACGACGAATAGTAGTCGCGTCATTCTTTGCACGGGAAGATACATCATTACCATGTCTTCTAGGTTTCCTTCTTCTAGACCCTTCATCCTGGTTCAAATTCTCTCCTGATGAATCAATCTGTAAATAACTGAGTGACAGCCTCCTGTTTCAGTCAGAAAAAAGAAACAAGCTGTTAGTCCTACAAGATCACCACATTGGGACCCAACAGATATTAGTTTCAAACAATTATCATGAAACTATTTCATCTGAATCCATCTATTCCTTCTCAGCAGAGGTAGTAAACACATTGCCACTTGAAGACAGATATACAATAACCATCCAACAGAGGAAGAGCGCATTGACACATCTAACAACTTAATCAGGAAATAGAAGGAAATGAAATTTTTAAAGGGCTAGTATAGGGGCTTTACAAGTCCTGCAGCTCCGCAATCCTCAGTTTTGATACATTTAGTAATTCGAAAAGCTTACTTCTTTCGATAATCGAAGCACCACAAGAACAAAATAATAATGGAAGGGGTTAAACAATAACAACTGTAACCATTACCACTGCTATTACATGCTGCAACCTTCATAAATATCTGAATTTTGACCATATATGAAGTATGAACAAGATATTATGTTTATTAGTAAAAGAAGTTGGTTCACATACTCCGAAACTATGTTTCAAACTTTTGCCTAGCATAATATAATATGAAATGGTATGCTTTCAAGCATTTTTACTTTCTAGTATAGAATGCAGTGAAATAACCTTGAGGGGTAGCTCAATGGTCAGACATTGGGTTTGCCCCCAATGTTCACCAGTTCGAGTCCCCTCATAGTCACTCGGGTGAGTATTCGTGGGATTAATCGAAGTGCGTGTAAGCTGGTATGAACACCCACGGTCATCAAAAAAAAGTAGAGAATGCAGTGAAATGTAATCATGATATGATAGGAAGCCCTGCCCAAGCAAGGTGATAGACATGTGGATTCATTTTCATATCCAATCTTTCCAGTAAAACAAGGTTGGGAATTCAAATTTTGATTGATTTCCAATAAGCCTACTGTAAAATTGAATTCAAATAGTGTTAAGGGATGACAAAAATTACCTATTCATGCTGGTGCCTTTCTCATCAAGAAGTGGGTATAGAGCCGTCTTTGTAGAGAAGTGCCATGTCAAGGGCACTGGGCGCTTAGAGGAAGTAACCAACTCAGTTTTCCCATGAATCTTTAAACATCAGTACAAACAATAGGGAAGTTAGTCAACAATATAATTCTCCGCTGAGCTCTTTGCAGATAATTAATCAGCAGGCTCATAACTTCCAGGTCAAAAAAATTAAAATTGGAATATATTTTCTTTATAATAACAATTCATTTTAGTTATTAAATTAAAGCCCATTTTGAATTTATGAAAGTGTGAGATGGTACCAACTTGCACTAAAGAGACAAAAACATATCTAAAGAAAAAGTGAATTTCACAGTTAACAAGTTTTTTCAGGATCAAATATAAATTTGTAAGGCTTTCCACCAAATACAAGAAATATTAAAATTTCAAAAATTGAAAGAAAATACAATACCACAAATAACCAAGATTAGCCCACTGATAAGTTAGTCATTCAAAGGAGTACATATACTAAATAAGGCCTTTATCCATATTTTTCCCATAGAAGACATAGTTGAAGCAAAATAGAGATCTACAACAAAATTGTGTAGCAAGAGATCGTACATTTTGGAGTTTGAAACAACCTATATACTCTTAACTCATAAGAAACAACATTTTGTAGGACACCATCTAGCAAAGAAACTGCAGAATAGAAGTGATAGCTGCTTTACCTGACCAATCCAACCTGCCAGCTCATCAGCATTAGCAACAGTTGCTGAAAGACAGATAAGTTGAACTTCTTTAGGGCAATAAATAACCTACATGATAACAGCAACAATTAATTGCATGAAGCAAATAATTAGGGTAAAATATTACAGAATTGGAGAAGAACATACAATCTCTTCCCACACAGTGCCCCGAGATATGTCACTCAAGTAATGTACTTCATCCAAAACAATCACATCCACGTGTGAAAGTCCAGTTTCAGACGAAGTTATTCCAACACTGTATCGACATTATCTATTTAAAATTAGGAAATGAAATGAAATCTTGGTTTATGTAAAAACTTAATAATCTGTAGGAAAAAATAATGGACCAACAAGTATCAAATGCCTAGAGAAAAAAGGGTGACGTACTTTCATTAAAGGATATGTAGAGAGAAAATTATTAACAAGTAAAAAAATGAACACCGTGTAAAATTTCTATTTGCATATAAAACTAACATGAGATCCAAGATTCAGAATACAAATGGAAGAGTAAAGACAGAGTGTCGACATTGACAGTTTGTATTAGATAGGTCATTTCTGGAAAAGAAAGTATGCACTTTTCAAAAGAAGTCGGAAAACTCTTTTCATGGCACTTTAAAGACACATGGTGAAGGGATTCTTGAACAATTATAGGTTTTTTTGAAAATCCTTAACAAAGATAATCTACCATAGAGGCCAGTGTAACTATACTAAAAGAACTGGGCCTCAAAAGTGAAAGAGCTATGAGGAGGATGAAGATGAGAACACAAATTGGACTGGATGAAATTTGTATTGAAGTATGGGAGTGTCCAAGCAAGGTGGGTAAGTATGGTCAGCAGATCCATTCGGTTATGTCTTAAATAGTAAAAAGATGTTATCTGAGTAATTGAAGAGTGTCATGGTGTCTATTTATCACAATATTGAAGGTATTAAAAATTGTACAAATTACACAGGTATTGAGCTCATGAGTCATACTACGAAATTATGGGATTGGATGATTGAGCACATATTAAGATTCATTCAAAGGCATCAGATAACAAGTTTAGGTTTGTGCTAGGGAGATCAACACTAGAAGCCACTTCTGTTATTAATGGATAGTGAAAAAAAAAGGGTTATTAAATGGTTTTTATTATTTTAGGAAAAACATATAATAATGTGCCAAAAATAAGTAACAAATGATTGAAGGGATGGGAAAAATTATTCGTTTAAACAACACCAATTTATTCAGAATAGGACTTTGTCGTTGTTGTTGGGTAAAGGCATAACATATTGGTGGCAAAGTAGTATCAAATGATTGGGGGTTGGAAGGGGCCCGAGGGGGGGGGGGGTTGCATGTGATAGCAATGAGATTTTTTACAATCGAAGAGAATAACAATTGACAGGAATTTAAAAGAACAAAGGTCAAGGAATCAGCTATTGGCTATTGACAAGACATTGGATTCAAAAACAAGTTTGTGCAGGATGAACTTTCATACCCAATTCTTGATTTAAAAATAAGTCAATTATGCAACGAATGGAAAATGCATACGAAAAACCATGCAAAAGATTGGCCAGAATGGAAAATGCACCTCCGGTACAGCATATTGCGCAAAATCTCAGTTGTCATAATTAAAACCTGAGCATCTTTGTTAACTGCAGAATCTCCAGTAAGAAGCCCAACATTACCGTCACCAAATGTCTCTCTGTGAAATCGTAGATAAGTAGCAAAAATCAGTAACATTACAACAAAATCAAACTGTCGTCCACAAAAATTTTATCAGAAATAACTCAAAAAACTAAAAAATTCCAAACCTGAAGTCACGGAATTTCTGATTTGACAATGCCTTGAGAGGAGTAGTGTAGAACAATCTCCTTCCCTTGGCTACAGTGGCAACTGCAGCAGCTTCAGCAATCAAAGTTTTCCCACTGCTTGTTGGTGCAGAAACTACAACTGAGGAACCTCTCAAGAATGCTTGAATTGCTGATCGCTAGACGCAAGCAAGGAAATAAACTCAATAATTTCACTTGTGCACATAGATTAATATGAATACATATTATGCATATTTAAAAGATGAAGTGAGCCTGTCAATGATTGTGCTTTATGCAATAGAAACTTTGATGACAAAATTGTAGCACTATCATCCTAATATAAAGTAGAACAGTGGCATTCTATGAGAATCAGAACCTCTTTACGTATGCCAACAGATCCAGTTGATTGAGTGTTCCACTATGCATTACCAATTGTACTGGGCTCTACCAAAACCAAACCGTTTCAGATCAACAGGATATCCTGTTATACATTCTGATTGGCCGACCAAGTTGTCATGCATGCTTACGCTTCTATATATATATCAAGCTTTTCTATTCATTGCACATTAACACTCATACTTAACTTTTCCAAACGAACAAATATGTCAACAGGTCTGTACACTCCGCTTACATATTATTCTATGCATTCACGACTATAAGTACATTATACAGAGACACATAGGCATTGGCGCAAACAGGTATTTTGTTAGTGAAACTCTAAACTGTCCTGAAATATATAAATAGTTGTGCCTTATGCTGTAATAATAGCTGCTCTACAACAGTAGAATGATCGTGCATAGACACATCTTAAGATCAGATTTCACCAAAAAATTGAAAATTAACCTGAAATTTATCAATTCTGAAATTGTAAATAGACGACAGCTCCTCAACATCAATGATTTCCTCACCAAACTCTCGCACTTCATTTCGTAGCCTCTCAACCCTCTGCCACTTGAATTCCTCAAATCTCGACTTATTATCATTATTCTCATTAACATAGTTGTTCTCCACCACCACTTCCTCGTATTCTTCTTCTTCTTCTTCTTCCTCTTCACTCTCTTCACCTAATTCACCAGAAACGACGTCGTACTCTTCTGCCACCACGTCATCATCCTCATCCACATCACTTTCGGCTTCATTTTCTTCTTCGGAGAGTTGAGATTGTGATTCGATTGGAAAACTTGACTTGGGGAATTTGTATGAAGTTTTGAATTGAGAGTAATTTGTAGTGCGGAGGAATTGGAGAGGTTGGAACTGGAGAAAAGGTTTTAATAGAAAAAATGAAGAGGATTTGTCATTGTATGAGGTGAAAGTGCGGTGTGAGAGAGAGGAGAGAATAGAGATTGTAGTCATGGCGGGAGGCGCCGTGTGTTCTCCTGTTCGAGGAGATAATATTGTTATTGTTTTTCTTTTTTCATTAAGATACCTCATAAATTTGTAAATGTACAGATGTGGACCTTCTCAATGCCACAGGCCTTTTTGGACATTTTTTCCAAATAGCCTTCTCCGTAATAAGGATAAGGTGAACAGGAGAAAAAGGATTTGCGCTTGCCGTCCCCGCCTTTTTTTTTTTTTTTTTATATCCAGATATCCATCTTACAGTGACTAAATCCTGGAGTCTACACCTTGACCCCTCAAGTTGCAGACAGGTTAAACCTCAGATTATGCCGCAAATGACCAGTGCTCAGAGCCCTTCCAACTGATCTGCCAAAGTGCCAAACAAGTCGTTTTCCATCTTTGCACCTTGTCTTCCAGTAGAGCTCATGCCTTCCAAGATAAATTCTACCTTCCAGGAGAATATCTGCCTTCCAAGAACCTTTCAGGAATCGAATTCACGACCTCTGATCTGTCAGCATTGAAGCGCCCTCATCTTTGCCAGTTGGGATGTTCCCTGGGGGGCAACGCTTGTCGTCCCCGCCTTGCCACTTGACCATGTCGCCAAATTGATATAAAATGAATATGATAATTTTTCTGGATTATGAAATTTTTATTATACTTGAATTTTGAGTCCTATTTTTCGTAATCACTTTCCTAACAAAAACATCCTTTTTGATTAGATTTAATCCATCCATTTGATTGATTGTATAGTATCTAAAAATCCACAATACTAAAAAATATCTCATTTTCCTATAGAGAATTAAACGTGAATTTTCATCCATTTATATATATCAAGCTTTTCTATTCATTGCACATTAACACTCATACTTAACTTTTCCAAACGAACAAATATGTCAACAGGTCTGTACACTCCGCTTACATATTATTCTATGCATTCACGACTATAAGTACATTATACAGAGACACATAGGCATTGGCGCAAACAGGTATTTTGTTAGTGAAACTCTAAACTGTCCTGAAATATATAAATAGTTGTGCCTTATGCTGTAATAATAGCTGCTCTACAACAGTAGAATGATCGTGCATAGACACATCTTAAGATCAGATTTCACCAAAAAATTGAAAATTAACCTGAAATTTATCAATTCTGAAATTGTAAATAGACGACAGCTCCTCAACATCAATGATTTCCTCACCAAACTCTCGCACTTCATTTCGTAGCCTCTCAACCCTCTGCCACTTGAATTCTCACAATACCGCTGCCAAAACAACCACCATCGGTTTGCGACATATGACAACAAATTGTTTACTACAAATTTAACTTAATCTCACCTGCGAGATAGTTTGTTGGATCAAGAAATTCTCCAGGTTGATAATCGAGATAGCTTGTTTTCTTAAATCCCAACTCTACATATTTGTTTACGAGACTAGATTATGAAGAAGGGAGGCGTAAAGGAAGGGTAGTACGAATTAAAGAGAGGAGATGTCCCAATACAGTTATGGACTGATAGTACCAAGATTTCTTTGTTTGTTGATATTCAATTTTTAACTTGGCACTCTACTTAAAAAAGGGACTTTCAAGACTTTATAAATATAAAATATTTTTTTTATTTTAAAGAATTAATGCTTAATTTACGCACTTAATAAGTCACATATTTCAATATTTTACTTTTTAAACTATTTAAATCACATTTATTGATTGATCATCGGCATATAAAAAATTGTGTTAAATAAAATATAAAGATAATTCAATAAATATTTCTTGAGAAAGTAAAATAAAAAAAAATAAAAACAAAATAAAGATCATCGATGGTTTACATAAAAATTTTGACTCTTTAAATTTAAAGATACCCACTATAAGACATAAGATACTCTTTATAAATAAAGAGTCTTCGACAGAAACTCTTAATCGTTTGAAAGAGTACGATTTGTAGAAGCTCTTTATTTATTTATTTATTTTTATTTTTTTTATATCCAGGTATCCATCTTACAATAACTAAATCCTGGAGTCTACACTTTGGCCCCTCAAGCTGCACACAGGTTAAACCACAGGTTGTGCTCCAAACTGACCAGTGCTAAAAAACCCCCCAACTGATCTACCAAAGTGTCAAACAAGTCGTTTTCCATCTTTGCACCTTGTCTTCCAGTAGAGCTCATGCCTTCCAAGATAAATTCTACCTTCCAGGAGAATATCTGCCTTCCAAGAACCTTTCAGGAATCGAATTCACGACCTCTGATCTGTCAGCATTGAAGCGCCCTCATCTTTGCCAGTTGGGATGTTCCCTGGGGGGCAACGCTTGTCGTCCCCGCCTTGCCACTTGACCATGTCGCCAAATTGATATAAAATGAATATGATAATTTTTCTGGATTATGAAATTTTTATTATACTTGAATTTTGAGTCCTATTTTTCGTAATCACTTTCCTAACAAAAACATCCTTTTTGATTAGATTTAATCCATCCATTTGATTGATTGTATAGTATCTAAAAATCCACAATACTAAAAAATATCTCATTTTCCTATAGAGAATTAAACGTGAATTTTCATCCAAATTTAGGACAAATTTAAGCCATTCGTAAATTTCTGAGTTTTATATAATTTTAGGTCAAATAATTTTTGTTTTCATTTAACTAACATCAACATAATTAGTCAGTATCAATTTCTCTTTTAAGTCAAATCTATTAGCAGTTACAAATGATACAGATGTAGGCAATAAATAATATTTAAAACCAGCTTGAGTAGTAACATATGTAAGCCCCAAAAATCAGCATGCAAATGTTCAAGTAGATGTTTAGATTTATGAATTTCAAGCAGAAAATGCAACTTAATCTGCTTACATATAACACATTGTTCACAGTAAATAACATCACAAAATTATTTTATAAAAAACATATATTGAGTTTGTAAAGATTTTAATTCTTTTCTCCCATATATGTCATGCCACAATTTTGTAAAGTGATTTTATCATTTAAAATTGTTGCAGTTAGGCTAAAGATTGATATTGCTTCAAGAAAATATAAACCATATCTCTTTCTTTCTTTCTTTTTTTATTTTTTTTGACAAACTCACAGCCCTTCTTCTTCTTCTTCTTCCTCTTCACTCTCTTCACCTAATTCACCAGAAACGACGTCGTACTCTTCTGCCACCACGTCATCATCCTCATCCACATCACTTTCGGCTTCATTTTCTTCTTCGGAGAGTTGAGATTGTGATTCGATTGGAAAACTTGACTTGGGGAATTTGTATGAAGTTTTGAATTGAGAGTAATTTGTAGTGCGGAGGAATTGGAGAGGTTGGAACTGGAGAAAAGGTTTTAATAGAAAAAATGAAGAGGATTTGTCATTGTATGAGGTGAAAGTGCGGTGTGAGAGAGAGGAGAGAATAGAGATTGTAGTCATGGCGGGAGGCGCCGTGTGTTCTCCTGTTCGAGGAGATAATATTGTTATTGTTTTTCTTTTTTCATTAAGATACCTCATAAATTTGTAAATGTATAGATGTGGACCTTCTCAATGCCACAGGCCTTTTTGGACATTTTTTCCAAATAGCCTTCTCCGTAGTAATAATAAGGTGAACAGGAGAAAAAGGATTTGCGCTTGCCGTCCCCGCCTTTTTTTTTTTTTTTTTTATATCCAGATATCCATCTTACAGTGACTAAATCCTGGAGTCTACACCTTGACCCCTCAAGTTGCAGACAGGTTAAACCTCAGATTATGCCGCAAATGACCAGTGCTCAGAGCCCTTCCAACTGATCTGCCAAAGTGTCAAACAAGTCGTTTTCCATCTTTGCACCTTGTCTTCCAGTAGAGCTCATGCCTTCCAAGATAAATTCTACCTTCCAGGAGAATATCTGCCTTCCAAGAACCTTTCAGGAATCGAATTCACGACCTCTGATCTGTCAGCATTGAAGCGCCCTCATCTTTGCCAGTTGGGATGTTCCCTGGGGGGCAACGCTTGTCGTCCCCGCCTTGCCACTTGACCATGTCGCCAAATTGATATAAAATGAATATGATAATTTTTCTGGATTATGAAATTTTTATTATACTTGAATTTTGAGTCCTATTTTTCGTAATCACTTTTCTAACAAAAACTTCCTTTTTGATTAGATTTAATCCATCCATTTGATTGATTGTATAGTATCTAAAAATCCACAATACTAAAAAATATCTCATTTTCCTATAGAGAATTAAACGTGAATTTTCATCCAAATTTAGGACAAATTTAAGCCATTCGTAAATTTCTGAGTTTTATATAATTTTAGGTCAAATAATTTTTGTTTTCATTTAACTAACATCAACATAATTAGTCAGTATCAATTTCTCTTTTAAGTCAAATCTATTAGCAGTTACAAATGATACAGATGTAGGCAATAAATAATATTTAAAACCAGCTTGAGTAGTAACATATGTAAGCCCCAAAAATCAGCATGCAAATGTTCAAGTAGATGTTTAGATTTATGAATTTCAAGCAGAAAATGCAACTTAATCTGCTTACATATAACACATTGTTCACAGTAAATAACATCACAAAATTATTTTATAAAAAACATATATTGAGTTTGTAAAGATTTTAATTCTTTTCTCCCATATATGTCATGCCACAATTTTGTAAAGTGATTTTATCATTTAAAATTGTTGCAGTTAGGCTAAAGATTGATATTGCTTCAAGAAAATATAAACCATATCTCTTTCTTTCTTTCTTTTTTTATTTTTTTTGACAAACTCACAGCCCTTAAAGATTTTAATTTGCTCTAACCAATTTTTATGTCAAGCTCTATATCATCTAGCACTTCTAGTTACATAAGATTCCTCCCAAGTTCAAGTTACATAAGATTCCTCCCAAGTTCAAGCACAAATCTAATTTTTTTCAAGTAGTTGAATATTACCATTTTTCAGTAAAATTTTTATAGTTCCTATTCCACTAACTTTGAGATCATATAATTCCCCCATCATCACTTGCCCTTCCATTGTTTTTATCAAAGTTTGTAAACCAGTTTTTATTAAGTCGCCTGTGAGAGGAACAACTTGAATGAAGAATCCATTCTCGATTTAGATACTGTATTTACAA